GCTACACAAAATGTTATTTTATCCTTGCTTCTAGGAAATCCTCAATCTATATACTTTCTAACAGCTTCATGTGGCCGTAAACATTTAAATTTAACGTGGCTTTAAACACTATGCATCGTTAAATTTTCACTTTCCCCGTGACTAAGCCGATAAATGTGGTGTTTACATGGAATAATCGTAATATGAGTTTACCTTATGGTGCGGACCCAGAGTCTCCGCATCAGCAGGAAAGTGATAAAACGAGCATCTTACATCCGAACACTTGTTGCATTTCGGGGGAAAACAAAAAAAAAACATTGTCAAACACCAATATAAAATGCGGGAAACTATTAACTGGTAAGTCTACAATTAATTGTATTACAAATTATACTACGATTAGAAAATACTGTAAATTGATAAACTGTTCGGCGTGATGACGTTGAATGTCTCCGACAGCGCCTGTAGTCCCATTTAGCAACTTGTTAGCAACCGTCTTTTTTAAGAAACGTAACAGTTTAAAAAAATCACGAGTGGGGTGTAATGTGTGTTTTATGTCGTAGAATAAAACGTGAAAGTATCTTGAGCTTGTGTGAACCACGTACCTTATTTTAGGGATTTAACCAAAATCCCATTCAAAAAACCCATTGACTCTGGGACGATGGAACTGGAAGTGCTAAAATGCTAATTCACTTCTGGGTTTTTGCCTACAAAGTGACATCATAGTTCCACCGCTCTATTGCAGTTTGATCAAATAATGAGTCAAGAAAGAGATGCAGTTCTCTTCATTCACTTCATATAGAAGGACAAGTTGAGAAAATTACATTGTGGGATATGATATTCACTGTAGTGTGTTTGTATGCATTACATTTTAGCAAATGTTCTAGGTCATCCTGGTCTTTCATGCTTGCAAGATCAGCCTACATATTGCATACTAAAAAAATAGTATGAGTAGTAGGTATTATTCCTTTAAGGACAAACCCAGGCACGTCCCCTCTATAGTGCACCTCAGAGCACGTTCAAGCTTGTTTCTTTAATGCATAGTCACCCAAAAAAGGTTCAAAGGAGTATAGTGTTCGGGTCCATACACACAGTAGTTATTGTTTGGCACTTGTCTGTTGGCTTTGTTCTAAGTGGAGGGGACGTGGCTGTCATTACACAGCAAAGAGAATCTTAAACGGCAGCTGCAGATTTTTATGGCCTTGTTTCGTCTGCTGCACCACCCCCACCCCATACCTCCCCTCCACTCCTTCAGTTTGCACAAGACAATATTTCCAGATGTTCCAAGAAAAGACCTCTATTTCAGCTGCAAGGTCCGTGTGAGGTTCACAAGTCTTGCCAGAGGCGGCATATTATTTGACAATTGAGTCCTGCAGTGGTAGTTATGTTATGAGCTGCTGCAATTCCAACAGAGGTGACTAGTTTCTGCCAAGGTTTAGTGACGAATTAAAAAAACGAAACATTCTGCATTCTATCTATGACTATCTGTCTGTCTCTCTATTGTTCTATCTACCATTCTATGTATAGTTCTATCTATTGTTCCTGTCTGTCTCTCGCTATATCTATCGTTCTATCTGTCTGTCCATCTGTCTGTCGTTTTTATCTGTCTGTCTCTAGTTATCTATCGTTCTATCTGTCTGTCTGTTTGTTTGTTTGTAAGGGATTATCTACTAGGGATTCTCATTTAGGTCTCATTCTCATTAATTTTCCAGACAGATAACCGCTGCTTGTTATCTGAACCTTAACTGTTAATGGGTGAGTGATCGGCCAGCCAGTCTCACTTCTTTCCGATTTCGAGCCGATCCGTTTTGTTACCAGCGGCACAGGCAATAACGTCAGCCGCACATTCTCGCTCTCTTCTCTCCGCGCACAAGCCGCGCTCAGTCTCAAACAGCTTGTGAGCCACAAATACCAAAATGAGTAGCTAACTGCGCTAAAACGTTCAAATACATAAAAAATTGTCAAAGTGACTGTTTTGGCGAGTATCCAGTTAAACACAGTCAGTTTTGGAACTTTTTAAATAGTTGAGAAAGAGAACGCATGTAACAGTATATTGGGTCCGCGGATAAACTCTTAAAGGGACCGCAGTCCAATATTTATGCTGCTGTCTGTCATGTTAATCAAAGAACAAAAGACAAAGAAAATATACGATATATATATGAATACGTTTTATAACTTTAATGGTAAGCATTAATCTGTATTTAATTTGTACAATGAAGTCTACAGAAATTAAAGCAATCAAATATAAAACATCGGCAGATCACACTAACAAAAAAATCAGAAATCGGAATCGGCCATCGGAATCAGGTCCCCGGTGCATCTACCAACCAAGGAAACGTGAAACAGATTAACCCAGTAACTTTGTTTTGGTAAGCCTTTTTCTGCAAGCGTCTGAAAAAGCGAGCACGTCTGATTACACGCACCTAGTGACGTTGCAAAGGGATCTCATTATAATATTACCGCCCATTAATCTGTAAGTTTCCACCCACTGCACTGTCATTTTGATTTCGTAAGCGACAACGGTGTACCTGTTCTAATGCCATGACAAAAGTTTGAGCAAAACATGCTAACTTTTCGGCCTTTGGCTGCACAGACGAGCACAAAACACTATTTAGATTCCCAGCCTCAGAGACAAGAGAGCAGTGGATTTAATGATTTATTTACTGTATATTGCTGCTGCCACACAGATCTAAAATAAAC